CCTCCCACTCTCATTCTTCTAGGCTTTGACGGAGTGAAGTGGAGGAAACATTGACATGAAGCTCAAGACTAAGAGTAGGAGGGAAAGGCTGTGGAACTCAACAACCACGCTCCAAACACAGCACTCGGCATGCCACGTGGACCGAGGCCAGCTCCAGGGTGTTCACAAGAGCTGTGTGTGTTTGGGTGTCAGCTAGTATATGTGTGTGTGTGTGTGTGTGTGGTGTCTATGGGGTGTGTGTGAGCTAGTTTGTGTGTGTGGTGTCTATGGGGTGTAAGCAAGCTAGTTTGTGTGTGTGGTGTCTACGGGGTATGAGCGAGCTAGTTTGTGTGTGTGGTGTCTATGGGGTGTGAGCGAGCTAGTTTGTGTGTGTGGTGTCTATGGGGTGTGTGTGAGCTAGCGTTTATATACATGTGTGGTGTCTTTGAGGTGTGTGTGCAGTATGTGTGTGTGAGAGAGAATATGTGTGCAGTATATAGGTATATTAGGGTAGAGTATGTGTGTGGGGGGTGTGAGCTAGTATGGGTGTGTGTGTTTGTGTGTGTGTGGTGTCTATGAAGTGTGTGTGCAGTACGTGTGTGAGAGAGAGAATACATGTGCAGTATGTATGTGTAGCAGACGGAGCTGGGCGTGGGGTCTGAGCGTGTGCCTGTGGTGTGTGCACGACTGTGTGTGAGAGCCGGAGAGAGAGCAAGCCCATGTGATGTGTGTGCTGCACACAGTGGTCGGGGTGGGGAGGGTGGGAAGGGAGTAGTGCATTTTGGAGACAGTGGGTCTCTGGCCTTTGTGACGTGTTCTTCTTGTGTCCCAGAGAAAAAGGTGTCTCTGGAAATAAAAATTGGCTTAAAGACAGGACCCCAGAGTGCCTCACTGAGCCAACCACCCCAGACTGAAAACGTCCCCTCTATCATGTCCAATTGTTAAGGATCTAAAGCCATCTCTTGGGCACTGTCATGCCCGTCTTCAAGGATGACAGGGCATTTGAGCACATGTTTACCAGGTGAGAAAATCCTTTTGAGACCCTCAGAGAATTGCTGTTCTCAATAAACCCAAACAGCCCGCAGTTCCAGCCCATCCCTGGTGCCTTTGCTAGAGCAGAATCAGAGGAGTGTCAGTGCACTTACTTCTCGCCTCCCAGGAAACACAATTTCCAACAGAAAAGTGGGGTAAGAGAACCACAAGATCCCTCGGAAATGGAGAGCCACATGGAGAAATCAACTCCCGGAGAGGGCAGTGATTCCAATGCACCCACCTGTCCAGCCGATCCTCCCTGGCCCCAGCTGTTGATTCTGACATATGGCGATGTCATGGGTGTCAGACAAGATGCGCTCCATAGGAAGGCCAATGCTTGCCTTTTCGGAAGAAGACCACCAGACCTTTCTTCCAAGTCACCTCTGGGTAGATTCAAACCACTAACCTTTCAGTTAGCCCCAGATTGCATGAACCGTTTACCACCCCCCAGACATGCCAGCCTCCCCTTAATCAGCTGCTAAATATTGGTTTGTTGTTGGTTCATGCTTAGTTTTTCTTTTTTTAATGTATATAATTCAGTCATTTTTATTCTATTTCAGCAAAGTTGTACAACCACCACCACTGTTTAACTGCAGAACATTTTCACCACCTCCAAAACGAAACCCCGTGCCAGTCAGCAGTCACTCCACATTCACTCCCCATTCCCTCCCTCCCAGCCCCCGGCATCCTGTCTCTATAGATGTGCCTGGGCTGGATAGTTCATGTAAACAGAATCATAATACATAGGCTTTTGCACTTTTGCACGTCTTCCACTTGGTACGTACGTTTTCAAAGGTGTCCATGTTTCCGTGCCCTGGGGGCACAGTGGAAATGCACTTGGTCACTAACCTAGGTCTGTGGTTCAGACCCACCAGCCGATCCATGGGTGAGAGATCCGGTTCTGCTCTCATAAAGATAATGAAAACATGATGGAAACCCGATGAGGCAGCTCTACCTTGTCGTGCAGGGTTGCTATGAGACAGGATCAACTCAAAGGCCATGGGTTTGGGTATCCATGTGTAACAGTTATCAGCGGTTCGCTCCCTTATGGCCAAATCACCTCCCATTGATAGATTTTGTTTATTCATTCGTGATGAATGTACCCATTCATCAGTTGATGATATTTGAGTAGTTCCCACGTTGGGGCCTTATGGGCTATGCCACGATGAACAGTTATGCACAGATTTTTGTCGGGCAATACACTTTCAAGTTTCTTGGGGAAATTCCTAGAGTGGAATTGTTGGATCATAGATTCACATGTTTTAAAGAACTCTCAAGCTGTTTTCCAAAGCAGCGGCATCATATTACATCCCGGAGAACTCTCTGTGGTCGCCAACCAACACTTATTGATTATAGCCATCATCAGATGACAGCAGCCTCCTGGGTGTGAAGCGGAGTCTCATGACTTTGATTTACATGTCCATAAGCATCTTACTGCCTATTTGTATATGTTATCTGGGGAAAACGTCTATTTAATTTGCCTGTTTTAAAATTGGATTCTTTATCTTATTATTGAGTTATTACATTTCTTTATATTTTTTATATAAGTCCCTTACCAGATATATGATTTTCAAATACTCTCTCTCATTTCCTGGGCTGTCTAATCACTTCTTTGCTAGTGTCCTTTGAATCATAATTTTAAAAAAATTTATGAAATCCATTTATCTAATTTTCCTTTGTTTTTCTCATGTTTTGGGTGTCATATTTAAAAAACCATGGCCTAATCCAAGGTCACAAAGATTTATCTGTATGTTTTTTTTCCCCCGGAGAGTTTTAGCTCTGACATTTAGGTCTTTGATGAGATTTTAGTTAATTTTATTATATGATATGTGTAAAGGGATTCAACTTCATTCTTTGGCACATGGATTTCCAACTGTCCCAGCACCCTTTGCTGAAAAGGCTACTCTTTCCCTCATTGATTTGTGTTGGAACTGTTGTCAAAGTCAATTGATTTGAAATGCAAGGATGTATTTATAGACTCTCATTCCTACTTGGACTTCACAGGCCTGCAAGTCCATGTCTGTACCAACTCCACGTGTGTTGATGACTGCTGCTTTGTAGTTTAGAAACTGGGAACTGTGAGTCCTCCGACTTCATTCCTCTTTAAGCTTGTTTTAGCCAGTCCAGGTCCCTTAGACAAAGGGAGACACGTTGACATTTATCTGCATATGAATTTTGGCACCAACTTGTCTATTTCTGCAAAACAAAACCCAGCTGAGATTTTTAATTGTGTTGGACCTTGATGGACTCGAGCAGTATTGCCACCTTAACAATATGAAGCTTTCTTCTCCAAGAAAATAGATGCGTTTCTATTTGTCTTCTTCAGTTTCTTTCGATGGTATTTTGCCGTCTTAAATGTTCAAGTCTTATAGTTCTGCTGTTAAATTTACTTGTAGGTATTTTATTCTTCTGATGCTGTTATAAATAGTTTTTACTTACTTTTATATCCTGCAACCTTGCTGAGCTCATTTATTAGCCTTGCTAGGTTTTCATGTGATCCCCGGGATTTTCTATAGATAAGAATATGTCATGAGCAAACAGCTATAATCCTTCCTTCTCAAACTGGATTCATTTTCTTTCTTTTCTTGACTAGCTATTTCTTAAGCATTACATCTTAAACATTTTAACCTATGTGTTAATCGGCTACCTGTGCCAGGTGGTCTCATAAATTGATCGCCTGCTCTAAGGCTTTCCTTTGACAAGTTGGCACCCAAGGATGCTAGGATTGTCCACTCAGGGATGAAAGCACCAGGAGGTCAAGAGAATGACCCTCCCCATCTGGGACCCATTCTCATTCCTTACTCCAAGCTCAGACCACCCGCTTCCAATGCAAGTGCTCACCAACCCTCTACTCACCGCCCTCTGCAAGGTTCCAGGACACAGGATTGGAAAGACACTGGTGCGAAATGATAGATCGAGGCCCCAAAATGCAAACAACCCGCTCATCTCCCAAGGGCAGCAGGGGAGGTCAGGGCAGCAGGGGAGGTCAGGGCAGCAGACAGACTGGTGGAAACCCAGGAGATTATCGGACACTTCCGGATCCCGTGGCAGAACCCCCAACTTCCCACTCAAGACACCCCAAGCTGTGGAGGGATACAAGCTCTGGGTACCACACACACACACACACACACACACACACACACACACACACACGTGTACGGCCAGCAAGGACAGGCTGTTCATTTCAGCACAATCGATCCGGGCCTCCGGGCTAGTCCGGACCCGGCGGAATCACTCGGTGGACGGCTGGGAGCAGCTCCGCTGGCTGGAGCTGCGGTGGCTCAGGACAAAGGTGGACGAGTTGCTCTTTTTGCTGACACTTGTCTCCCTGCCCCGGCTGCCCTTCAAGAAGCCGGAGGAGCAGCACAGGAAGCGCTGCACGAGTTCGTGGAAGAGATGGCCCGTGAAGAGCATGTAGATCCAAGGATTGCAGCAGCTGTTGAGGCTGGCCAGGAGCATGGCGATGATGAAGGCAGAGGCTGGGGGAGGGGCGAAGGAAGCAGAGGGAACAGGGCGTCAGCATCAGGGTGCCACAGGCCTATTTGACTTAACCAGGGTTTCCTAAGCAACCATCTAGCTGCCCCCGGTCCGCAGTCCTGGGGCACAGGATGAAGCACAACGTGGCAAAGCTTGTCTTCCGTCCGTACCCTTGCTCAGAAGATGCCCTCCATCTCCCCTCGCTGCACTCACGATCCAAACCATTAATCAGAGATTGATTAGTTACTTTAAAATTAATTTCAACATTAATTCAAAATCAACTTGAAAACAGAGCTCATCACAAATTTAAGCTTTTAGAGGGAAGGGGGGGCGGGGGCATCCTAATCCAGATGCTTAGAACTTCCCAGCAGAGGTGGTAGATCAGGTTGCTGTCACGTTGTGGGCTAAGCTTTGGGTTGTTAAAAGCAAGATAAGCAGCTCAAGCCCACTCACCACTCCACAGGAGAAAGCTTAGGCTATCTGTACCAGTAAAGGTTCACAGTCTTTGCAATCCTGTACAGGGTTATTATGAGTTGGAATCAATGCAATGGCAATGGGTTGGGTTTGGGAGGTTGGTTCATGATGTCAAATCTAATAAACTGCAGACAAGCCGCCCAAGCGATGACAGGACAGCATCTCCAAGACGCTCAAGGAGAAGGACATGACTGAGAAGGCCCTTTACAAGTGAAGGAGCCTACAAGAAAGCTAGAAACTTGACCAGCCGTATGTCTTTCATGCAAAAACTTTTCAGGAAATCAAGTCCAGCATTCAAGGCCTAAATCCAGGAAATGGCCCTTCAGTGGGAACACTACAGTGGCAAGACAGATTGCTTAAGAGAGTTTATTAAAATGCTATCGCTTAAGAGGTACAGAGTTTCTGTTTGGGATGATGAAAAAGTTTTGGAAATAGTGATGCTGGTTGCACAACATGGTCAATGTCATTAACATTCCTGAACTCTACACTTAAAAATGGATAAAATGGCAAATTTTAGGTTATGTATATTTTACCAGATACATTAAAAAAAAACCAAATAAAATAGGAGGGGAGAAAATAAAGGCACCAAATGTTACTTGGTGTGTTAATCTGGATTGACTAGAGAAACAAATTCTCATAGACACTCATATGTGTATAACAGAGAGCTTTCTATAAAAGAGCAATTGTATATTGAGAAAACATCCCAGGCCTGTCCAGATCAAGTTCATAGGTCTGATATTAGCCCATATGTCCAATACTAGTCGCAAGTTCCTCTTCAGACTCATGCAATGCATGCGACGACACAGATTGCAGGAAGATCACAGGCCAGTGGTGGAAAGTCTTGTGGATCCAGTGGTGGTAGAAGCATCTTAGCACTGGTGTGGTTTCCACATGGCTCCTCTAGCTCCAGGGCTCTGGCTCCATCAGCGAGGTTCCATGTGGCTAGTCAGCAGGAATGTCTAACAGGGAGAGTGTGTGTTCCACCTCCAAGGAGAAAGACAAGAGGTCCCAGAATCCTCAGGTGAAGGCCATGCCCACACAGAGGCATGATTGGCTATGACCTGATTGACAGGCTAGACTCCACCCCTATAATCTACAGTGAACCCTCGCCACTTCGCGCTTCGATTTCCACGGCTTCACTCTATTGCAGTTTTTGCGTAACAGCGCATGCTCTGTCATTACTGCCACTGATTGGCTCATACTGTACACGCTTGATGCCATAAATAATATAATAAATAATAAATGATAATTGTAACGTCCAAAATGTTTTACTGTATTTTCCCTTTTTCGTTTAATAAATTGGGTAATACGAGTGTAATGGTGACTAAAGGGTGTTTTTTCATGTCCTCTATGCTCTAACTACGAAAATATTTGATTTACAAATAAGGAATCCTACTTCGCGGAATTTCATTTATCACGGTAGGGTCTAGAACCGATTAACCGCGATAAACGAGGGTTCACTATATTTAAAAAGTTGGTATGAAATTAAGTAATGACCACAGGAAGCACCCCAAAAAGTTTGTGAGAAAGTTCTGTTCTTTTTTAATTCCATCCCTTATCCGCACCCCCCCCCCAACTTTGTTGAAGCCCTCTCTCCTTCGGTACAAAGAGGTCCTGGTGGCGCAGAGGTTCAGTGCTCAGTTGCTAGTCAAAAGTTTACCTGTTTGAACCCACCAGTCACTTCACAGGTGGAAGATATGGCCACCTGTTTATGTGGAAAGGGCAAGTCTGGGGAACCCTGTGCTGCAGATCTACTGCCCCCCGAGTTGCACTGAGTCAGAATCAGCTCCTGATGTTGTTGATGTTGTTGTTATTGTTCTTTATAGTTAAGTGGTATCATCTTACTTTTCCATTTAAACTACTTGCCTGACTCTTTACATTTGGCTCTTTACCTATTTCCCCCCTATAAAAATAAAATGAAATTAATCTAGATAAACATCAGCAATAAAAAAGTGACCAGCGAATAAATTCCCAAGTAGCAATGCCAGTTTTAATACTTCTAAAACAGCTAGCGTTGGCTGGAGGGGCTTGGACCACAACCAGCATCTCTGCCTGCCCCCACCTCCCCCACCCCACCCACTAACAGCCACAGATGCCAATGATTGGCCTGGCCCGCCTCCTGGGGGCGGAGAATGACTCACTGTGAGTCAAACTTGCTCATCTCGAGTTACCAAATGTGGAGGACGCATTTGTTGTTGTTGTTGTTAGGTACCATCAAGTTGGTTCCAACCCATAATGACCTTACAAACAATGGAATGAAACACTGCCCAGGCCTGTACCATCCTTACAATTACTCCTGTGCTTCAGCCCATTGTGGCAGCCACGGTGTCAGTCCATCTCCGAGGGCTTTCCTCTTGGTCACTGCCCTTCTACTTTACCAAACATCATGCACTTTTTCCAGTGAGTGGTGTCTCCTAACATGTGCAAAGTACGTAAGATAAAGTCTCACCATCCTTGCCTCTAAGATGCACTCTGGCCATACTTATTTCAAGATGGAGTGGTTTGTCCTGTTAGCAGTCCATGATGCTTTTAATATTCTTTGCCAGCACCACGATTCAAATGCAATTCATCTCCAACCTGCTTAAATAAATGTCCAACTTGCATGCCTGTGAGGCCATGGAGAATACCCTGGGTTGGGTCAGGCCCACCTTAGGTCTCAAACTAACATCCTTGCTCTTCAATACTCTAAAGAGGTCTTGTGCAGCACATTGACCTAATGCAATAGGTCTTTTAATCTCCTGACTGCTGCTTCTATAAGCATTGACTGTGGATCCAAACAAGACAATATACTCGACAACTTCAATCTTTTCTCCAGTTATCATGATGCTCCCAATTGGTCCAGCTGTGAGGATTCTGGTCTTCCTTACATTGAGTTGTCATCCATACTGAAGGCTGCAATCCTTGATCTTAATCCGCAGTGCTTCAAGTCCTCCTCACTTTCAGCAAGCAAGGTTGTGTCATCTACATATCACAGGTTGTTAATGAGCCTTCCTCCAATCCTGATCCGCACTCTTCCTCATGCAACCCAGCTTCTCTGATGATTTGCTCAGCACACAGATTGAATAAATATGGTGAAAGAACACAGCCCTGGTGTACGCCTTTCCTGATTTTAGACCATGCAGCATCCCTTTATTCTATGTGCACACTCCCTCTTGATCCATGGACTCTTTCCACAGGAGCACAATGAAGTGTTCTGGAATTCCTATTCTTCTTAAGATTAGCCAGGGTTCGTTATAATCCATATAGCCGAATGCTTTGGATCTTGAATGCTGATAGCAGAGAATCCCAGAAAGATGTTTATGTGTATTTGATTGACGATGCCGAGGCATTCAACTCTGGGGTGGTTACGTTTTAACTTTTCAATATCTAAATCATGCAAACACAGGAGTCTCCATCAGTGAAAGTTCAAGCATCCATAACCAGCCAGGAAGAAAGCTATTTGGGAATTAAAAAGGGTTATGGAATCTGTTTGAAAAGGAGGAAGCAGTAGAAATACAGACAAGTGGGTGAGAATGCCCAGAACCTTTAAGGATCTGCCAAGGGCAAGATGTGAGTAAGGGGAGCCTCATGGGCAGTCAAGAAAGATGACTTAGAGTTGGGTGGAGGAGAGTCTTGAATGCACACTGAGTCAGAACTTTGTAGGGAACAGGCAGCCACGGATGGTTTTTGAGCAGGAGAGTGACTGATTCCACCTCAACCCACATTGTGTGGTTTCTATTGCTTCAGCTGGACCACTGCCCCTTCTGATGGCTGGAAAGACATCTCAGGATTGCGGTGGGGCCAGAAGAGGCGCAGCACAGGCCATGTTGTCTTTGGTCTAATCAGCGGATACAGGCACCCGTCAGAACCCACACAATATTTTCTTGGAGGATCCTGTGACCAAGCCAGCAACATTAGTCATGAAAATCAACACTGACGTTGGCACAAAACGTCTCATCCCCGTGTTATAGACAAGGAATGTGAAACTCAGAGGCAGACAGTGACTTCCCCAGAGCACACAGCAAGTAACCATGTGCTCTCACCTAAACGCAAGAACGCCTCGTCCCTGTTCTAGACAGGCCAGCACGACAAAACACGACCTAAGAAACTGAGGGAGATCTCCACACACAGAGCCATACCTGCGCTCACGGACACCAAACCAAACTCAGCCCCAGGAGTCCGTGCCGAACCTTAACAACCCACAGGAGCAGGCAGGATTGCCCCTGTGGGTTTCCGAGACTGTGATTCTTTACTGGAGTAGGAAGCCTCGTCTTTCTCCCACAGAGCAACTGGTAGTCTTGAACTGCTGACCTAGCAGCAGATTTTACAATGTGCATATCACCAGAGTGACCTACAGATAGGATGCCATGCCAGTCCAGGGTCTGTCATCCTCCTTCAGAGATAAGGACCAACTCTGTATGGGAACGAGAGAGGTTCCAGAGAAGCAAAAGACCGTGAAAGAAGAACAACGAAGTACGAGGATATCGTTTGATATTTCTTGATAAAGATCAAAGATGATGTTACCATGAACTCAGTGGGCAGGGCTGCC